TTAGTGAAGAAATGGCGCGTGATTCGTGCCGTGAAATACCATTGACTTCCTGTCCAACTCCTTTTCTGCCCTTTCTCAATCTTCTCATAATCACATCTTTATGGGAGGCGGTGTCGAGAACAATCTTGCCGACATTGTATGTCTGAGGAGATATGTGAACCGCCTAGTTGGCTTCTGTAGAAAAGTGGAGAGAAGTACGTAGGAATTGTCCGAAATTGTTTCACTTTGTTCGACTTCAGCATACTTTTCGGTTCTTTATCCTTGTTCTTCAGAGAACAAAATACCTAAAAAGCTCGTCTGAAATCTAAAAAAGGTTAGTGCAAAAGTTTGAGAGCAACAGCATATGCTGGTGGCGCTGCACGCGCCTTCGGAAAGAAGCAAATAAGATTGGTAGCGAGTTTCCACGGTTGCTGAGCATGGGCAAACAGAAGACATTGACCCACGGAAAGAAGAAAAGCCTGTGGTTTGAAGTCATTTTTTGGCCAATTTTTTCATTCACAGACTGATAACGACGTAAGATTTATGTCGCCCAGAAACTTGGACGTGACAGCATGTCATGAGATTAAAGTAAGAGAATGTTCAGAGGTGACTCGCAGGTTTATGGAAGAAAACAACAAGCAGCAGCTTCAGGAACAGACAATCTCCGAGATCACGGAACTACCCCGAGTCTTTCCTTCTGCAGTCCCTTATGCGGCACTTGCAGTGACGGGAAAGTACAGCGACGGTCGCCCACTGTCATGCTATTGAGCTATTTCTCACGATCAGCTCTGTGTTACATCTCCTGTGGGAGAGCAGCTGTTAGAGTCAGGACAGCATTCAGTGGATTTTGCTTCAATGAGTCTTCAGCAGCTTTGAAGGAGTAGAACCACTATTAAATAGAGAAACAGCCTGTAGAGACTATAAAAATCGACGAGATAACGGTCATTTATCGTTTTCGAAAGGATTCTTTCTTGTCTTTCACTTCTATCTTACAGTGCACACATTCTTCTTCATTTCATCGCTCCTTGTGCAGATGAGGATCTCGCAACTAATTTTCACTGATAATCGCTGTTGTTTGACACAGGAGCGCCTCGCTCAAATCACTTGTAAACCGTGTGTTCAGTGATTGGGTAGCGAAATACGAACGCACACTTTAGCTGCGTTCATACTTCGCGTCAGCGTATGCCAGTGCCAGCGACTAGAAAAGCGCAGATATCATTATAGCATATGTCACCACATGCAGCCTACTCCAGCGTATGTCAGCGTCGATCAGGAGAGATTTTGAGGAAGTAGGATTCCAGCAGACCGCGAAATAAGCGTCGTGAAATTGCGGCGTGTGCAACCAGCCGTGCAACTGCCAACGCATAGAACTACGCAATCTTGATTCACGGTGAAGTGCAGTTTTTACGGTACGGTTTTGCACACGCCGCAATTTCGCGACGTCTGTCCCAGAAGTCTGCTACTCTCCTACCATCCTCATACTCCAACCCCTGGCAGAGACGCGGGCATAAGCGTACCTTAGATTGATTACCTATGTACTTTCCTAGTAGTTGGCGCTGGGGTACGCTCGAAACGCTCATACGTTGGCGTATGGTGATGCAAAGTATGAACGCAGCTTTACAAGCTGACTTTGGGTCTGATATAGAGTTGACGGCGTGTCATCCGTCTTGAAAAATGTGAACGCATCTACTGAAAACGTCGAATCTGTACTGAAAGATGCTTGGAGAAACACGTCGAAACGAAATAAATCAAATACGTCCGTAGTCAACGTCGATTCACTGTGTGATCTTATTTGTCGACAAAGTCGCATCTTCCGGTTTACACAATTTTGGATTTATATTTTCAATTGCTTCCCGTCCTTTCACTTGCCCTAATTTGTTTTATTCTGCATGTTTTCCTATGAATTCTGCATGTTTTCCTATGAAGTCCTGATGGGTCGTGCTATGTGCAGCTCAGACTCCGGCATTTCGTTCCTCGATAGTTCTCTTTCCTTTCATGTTATGCTGTTTATAGACGTTGAACAAAGTTTGTAGAACGAAATAAAACATGAAAAATTAACTCGCTGAATATGTTTTGAAGAAGTAACTAAGTACGGAAGCCACATAGACAACAATTCTCCAGGCAAGCAATGTAGGTGATGCGATGGTGACGTAGAGGATGGGTGAAGGAAAGTGACCAACTTCTAAGGAGGAATAAGAACAGTCATCGTGAAGTCCTATTTGTGTTTGGCGTCAGCTGTTTCCCAAAGAAAACACCAAATATGGGAGAGGAGAACCATCGAGGTGAGCCGGGCATTGATAAGTGAGTATCCTCGTACGAGTCCTCTGAGTCATGTGCGCGGTATCTTGCGCCAAGCAGACTGGTTAGGGATGAAGTGTCAGCTGCTGGGAAACCTCGTTCTACCTGCGTCACGCAATCGATTTCCATTCAATATCGAGCAGCACTTCAATGCCATTGCCATTTGCCTTCACAATAGCCGACATATGCGAAAGTCAGTGTCAGTTTCTCGTGAACAAAAGTTTCATTATGTACCAGGTAGTCGATCCTAGTGGGACAAAACACGTGACTGGCGAGCACGGAGTACAAGAGGAGATTATGCGCTCGGTAAGTGAACAAGAGATTACCCCATTTGCATGCACTTATTGGTGTAGGATTTGCATAAGGGTAAACAGAAATTTTCAGAGCATTTCTCCACCACCATCTACCTCGCAATCACCTATCCAGATCGACCAAGGTAAGTCGATTGGTAGAGAAATATTCTTTCACATTCTTCAAGAAGTGTTTAGGTACCAGCTATCACCCAAGTCCTATTTTATTTCAGCTAACAACAACTTGCCCACAGTGTATCCGCCGTTGTTTCAATGACTCTTCATCTTACGGCCAGCGCCTAGATACCTCTCTTGCGACATTCCCCACGCTCCTAAGAGTCCTATCGATCGGACGTGGTTTACTTAATTTCAAAGGCTCTCGCAAGAACTTCGATTCTTGACTTCGGTCAAAAAATGTTGGTGTCACAAGGGGCGAGCAGAGTGGTCCTTACTTTTTTTCACAGACTGGAAGCATTTAAGTTTCTCGTGCTGACGTCAATTGTAGTTTTTGCCCATCATCCAGCAACTTCCAATAGGATATCATCCCGTTGATTGCACCAGAAGCGATACAAGGTTGACTACGGCTTCCTTTGAAACAAAGCGTTGGAACTGCAGCATGGCCGTGTATCATCTGTTGATTCCGTCACAAGTCGAGATAGAGCTTTGGGTGGCCTGCAGGGTACAGGTGATGTGGCTGAAGACATGTTCTGGCAGCCTTGATCAAGTCTCCCTGGAAAGCCTGTCTGAACTGTGCAATAGTATGACCAGAATCTGACTGCTCACTAGCTATTTTTTCAAATTGCCTCAATTGCTTTCCAACCTAGTAGAGTTGAATATCCAAATAATTGGCGAATCCAAAGTTCATTCCTTGTTGTTAAGGATGGAATACGACACTGACTCCATCGATTGCAACTGATTCCGAGTACATGTAAGGCCAATTGGTTTTCATTCGGAAAGCATTTAAGAAATTTGTCTTCGTTCTAAAATGAGATTAGTATCATGTTGGACAAAACGTCATGCGACAATTTGAGCAAAATCTGGGACTGTACTTTCTTTTATAGAACGAAGCCTTCAATGAGCAAGTTGTCGGCATTATTATCTTGAGATTGTTTCCATCTGCTGCAGGACCGCCACTACAGTACCAGGTCCAAGCAGCATCGCGTTGATGTCCAACGCTAGCGGTTTTTCTTCTTTAGGGTGGTGCATATGCATGATGAGACAAAGAACCCTGATTTCATTAACAATGGTTATTTCTGCCAAAAACCCTTCCATTACGAAGGCCAAGAAACTTATCCAGGGCTATTCGGATAGCCTTGTCAGGCGACAATATGTTACTCAGTAACCGAGATTGCGGAGTAATAAAGTGGGCGCAGTAATGAGCAGTTGTCGACCTCTTGCCTACTTGTAGAGGATGGGGCGATATGATCATTATCCTCCTGGTTGCTTGGGAATACGGTATACATCATTGCGGACCGTGTGGGCGTGTCGAGTGCGGCTGCATTTGGCCGCCTCGGTGCCAAAGACGTTTCTGCACCAGTTGTTGAAGCGGGCAACTGACACTGGCAAGTGACATTACTGTATTATATATCCTCCGTATTACTCGTTTTCTACCACTTTTTGTCGCATACGCGTTTCACAAAAAGGCTGAGAACGGCTTCAACAGTGTGCACACTCATACTGGCTGACACGCCCCACCGGTCCGCAATGATGAGGACTGTATGTTGTCTGACTAAGTGAATTGAATAACCTCTGAATTCCAAGCGCTGACACTAACGACACGCTGTGGCATGACATCGTTTCTGGAAACAGCGCAAGTGTTTACCTCTCGACACCTACAAAGGGGCAATGCAGAATATCAATATTTAGAAAGGCTCGAAGAATAGCATGATGATTATTAAAAAACTTTGAGCTCTGATATCTCGCACGAATCCATTAATCGCTAGTTATAGGAAATGAGGCCGTGTAGACACACATCGAGTTATTTATCTATTCCAGCATCTGGGTCCTCTTGCTTTACTACAGAATTTCATAACGTGAGTAATGGCTGCGCCATGCCATTAATAACCGCAGTTGCGAGATCAGAATGGGTGAAGTTGAATTGGTCCGGATAAGTCCTAACACCCGGAAAAGGCATAACTGCAGAGTCATGGGTGGAACTGAAAAGGAGAACTTCACATTGCTTGTACATGTCAAAGTGTGTGACGGACGGAGAGCACGGAGAGCTCAATGTTACAACTGGAAGGACATCCCACTCCTGAGTGTGGATTCCCTCCCTATTTTGCTTCAACTGCGACCGCCACCTTCTCACACTTGACTTGGCAGGTGGATTTGCGAAAATTTTTCT